AGCAACAGCAACATCAACAACAGCAACAACAGAAGCAACAGAAATAACAGCAACAACAGCAACAACAGCAACAACACCAACACCAACACCCACAACCACAACCACACCCACAGCCTCAAACACAACCAACAAACAAAAATAACCGAACAAAACAAAAGCGATCAAGCAAGCACACAAACCACCGCACAACACCGACATTGACAACAACAACAGCAACAACAACAACAACAACAAGAAGAACAACAACCACAACGACCACGACGACGACGACGACTACGACGACGACTACTACTACCACTACTCCTACTAATCATCATGATTATAGTTATAATGGCAGGACCGCCCAGCCTCGCCAGATTTGCGGCCAAGCGCACCACCTGAACCCAACTTTGCTGGGCACTTGGTTGGGAGAAAGCTGAGAAAAGTAGCTCGGCTCTGGTTCTGAAGTGTTCTCGACGCAGCATAGACAGCCTCTTCTGCTTCGTTCCAGGCACCTCTCACTGGGCAGGCACTCCGAGATCCGGAGCGTGTGGATTGAAGTGCGTCAGCTAGTTGGATTCCCAGTTTCACGGCCTCGTGGTCAAAGCAAACCCTCGGAAGCCTTGCGGCCACTTTTCTCCTACTCGTGGTAACTGCATCCACCGCAAGTTCTTTCGGTGATCTTATTCGGTGAGGGTGGACCTGCTGCATGACTTCGATCATGCCTGACCTGGTGCGCATTGGACAGGGGCCGACAGGGAGAGCCACCGGGCCCTGCAAAGTCAGGGCGAGGCAGCATGTTTTAATGGTTTGAAAGGATGTTGGTGGCACGCTCGATGAAGCACCTGTCCGCAAGCTGCGCCCCTTTTGGTGGCTTTGCCTTCGTGACTGGTGCAAAGAAGGCTTTTGCCATGTTGGCTCGACAGTTTCACGTATAGGGATAGAAAGCTTTTGGGCACCGAGATGTGGCCGAGCCCATGGCCGAGGCGAGAGAGCCTCAGCTCCTTGGCCCATTGCCGAGAGATGTTGCTGCCCTGCCTTTTGTGGAAACGTCCGTCTCTAAGGCTCTCGCGGCTCTCGCCGTGAGCAAGCCAGAAGAAGGACCCTTCGCTCACACACAAAGTGGGTCTCCGTCTCTGAACCTGCAATGTGCATGGACTGCAGTGCATCAGCACAGCATTGCAGCATGAGGCGGTTCTCCAACTGTGCACTCTAGTCACTCTAGTGACTCTAGTGCTAGTGCCGCCACACTTGCGCCGTTGGGAGGAATGGCACAGTGGTGCTCGGTGCTGCGTTCGGCGCAGTGGCACTGAGCTCCGAGGCTTGTCTTGCCGGTGTCGCTTGCTCCGACTCGCGCTGTGCCAGTGCCAGGTGCTGTGTTGGATGCCCCCAGCGCAGCCAGGCCTAGCAGCCGAAGAGCCGAACAGCCGAAGACAGACTTTCTCTGTTCAGCCCTTCCTGGAGCCGAGTCACAGGCCTCACCATCGCTGAGCTCCAGGGGCAGAGGCGACCGGTCCGCAGCGCCTGGAGATGTCTACACGCTTTCTGAGTTCGGGTACGTAGATGGGTACTCACCATCCGAGAACGGGTGCTAAAAGGCGGCAACTTCATGGCTGGATGTTTGGTAGAGAGTCTCCACATCCCTGACCCTTTCTGACCACGTTGCAGAGGCAGACACCGCTTGGGTCGGCACAGGAGCCCTGCTGGGTGCAACTTCTCCGCCCGTGTTTCGTCAGATCCTAGTGCAGAAGAGACAGGTTGCAGGAGCTTCGATACGTTCCCTGACTACCGTGCTGTCTGCTGGCGTATTTTCTGCAGCCATGCAATCCAAGCCTCCGCAGGGCCCGGCTGCGCAGCTGGGCTTTACCCTACGGCCCCCGCAGCCGTTGGAGGCGCCGACCAGGCAGCTGCGTCGGGTCAGTGGAAACATTTGAGAGCAGTGCCGTGCTGCCGCCTTTGCTGGTGATGATGTTTCGAGGTGTAGAGGCTGAGGCTTGCTAGCTCCTGCTTGCACCATCCCAAGTTCAAAAGACGACATGCAGAAGCGGCGAACTGTCTTGCAAAACAATTCGCTCAGCCTCAATCCAGCCCTTGAGTGAGAATGCCCAGCCGCAGGGGTGTCGTAGAGCCCCTGCCGCTGGCTGCAAAGGGTCTGGCACTTGGTGCAAGCACAAGCGGGACTGCGGATCGTTTGCAAAGGCCGCTCTGCGTCAATCTGGGTCTCGGATTCAGTGTAGGTCAGGACGGTCGGGACCTTCACTTGGCTCATCTTTGGCTGAGGTGGTGGCCTTCGCGGTGCGGCGCCGCCCGCGGCGGTCCGGGCGATGCAGGCATATGCTTGTTTTCGGTTTGAGTCTTCGTGGCTCGGACTTGACAAACGCGGTTCAAGCTTTGTGGTAGGAGCAATGACGGCTTCTGAAGACAGGGAGAAACATCTTCGCTCTGCCAGGCAGTGCATGGGCAGTCGAACCACCACTACCAGCAGGCTCGCATAATGCAGTTCAGGGAGGAGGGTGGAGAAGCGGCGGCATCCTCTGCTGCGGTGTGTGATCAGCATTGGTAGTAACAAGCCAGGGTAGCACCGGATGAGTACCAGTGACTAGGACCAAGATAGGAATTGTGAGCAGCACCTCCCTGCCTCCTGTGCCACATGTCCTCAGCTCGGCAACTGAAGGTTGTCGACGCTGCAGCTGCATCCCAAAGCCAGATTGCCTACTTCGCCCCGCCGAAGACGACCCAAGCAGGGCAATTCGCTCCAGGCCCATGCTTTTGAGAGGGTTCGCCCTTCTGTGGTTTGACGGTTTCAGAGCTGGCGAACTCACACACGACCAGGTACTCTTGTCGTATGTTAGGATCCACCCCAACCTCTCCTGACTCCGTGGACCGTGCAAGCTTCGCGTAGTGGTTGGTGGGAGAGCGTGTTGAATCTAGAATCTATGGCGGGATTGGGGCAAGGCTTGGCCAAGTCGAACAGCGCACGTGTACTTACGTTAAGGGTTTGGGTTGCGCAGTTACGGGAGGATTCCAAAATAGAAGGTCATCAGGGGCGACGGCTACAGTCTGCAATTGCGGTGCTTAGGCGTGCTGGACCGAATCAAGATGCGTCTCGAGGGGCAGGGGACGTATGCAGCTCCTTTGTGGCACAAAGCTGGATGCCATCTGTTTTCGAGTCCGTGACCTTTCGTGATGGCCATCCGAGGTGATTAGCGCTCTAGCCGGGGCCCAGCCTTTCGTGGATTCGCTTTGCTGAGTTGGCTTCAGGCCACAAACCTTGAGTATATGTCCGTGCAAACCGTGATGTTTGCATACGCCTAGCTGCCGAGCCCTTGTTCACTGCCACTGCCGGTAGCTGTAACGGAGTTCTGCGACCATGAGTAGGGATGTCATGCCTGTGATCTGGCAAAACCAGTGAACCAAGACTATGCCCTTCTGTGACAAAGGCATGCAGAGTCGCAATGACTGGCGATCGAAGAGTGTGAGCAGTTGCAGGGCGGGTGCAGCTTACCAACATCTCTGAGGTCGTGAATATGGGTATCCGCTTGCTGAGTGGAAACTCCGCAGACATGATGAGCCAGGCATTTATGCTGCTGGGAGTCTCTCTTCACCCAGGGAAGTTGGTGTGACCAAGAGTTGGAATCTGATCCAATGTCTTCCGATCTTGGGCCCTTGGGTGGTTCTTGCAAAGTTTGGCAGGCATGGTGTCCCATAGCCTGCCTCTACTCCTGTGCGCTGGCCACTTGCGTCCTCTCTGGGGTCGGGCGCCCAGCCGGCCAAGCCTGGTGTGTAACAGACGTTAAACCTCTCTGAACTTGGAGGTTCATGGGTAGTTATAAGTGGAGTTAAATTACAGTTACCCTACTTATAACCCCACTTATAACTACCCATGAACCTCCAAGAAGATCTCCGAGAGACGTCGGGAAAAAAGCATCGGAGCTGCGCTCAACACGATTCTCTCGGCCTGGGTGAAAGGTCTACGCCACGATCGTCTTCACTCTCACGAAGATGTACTCCATGACCGTCATCGGAAACTACAAGGACAGTAGTATCAGCTCAAGCTCAAAGGAGAGAAGAGGTCCATGGGGAGCAGAAGTCATTGTGCAAGTGTAATGAGCGAATCCTGAACTTGCTCGTTCGCTCTGCCCCCTCAGTTCTAGGACGTTTTGGCACCATTCAGTGCCCTGAATTTTGCCTGCCCATCCCAGCATCAAGATCCTGACCATGCAATTTCCAAACTCCAGCCCTCTTCTGGCATCAGGATGCGCAGTTCAGCGAGTTTTTCCAAGAGACGACAAAGTACAGGGTTGCAGGCAGCCGTTGAAATGGTGGGCTTTGTCGTCCCGTTTCCGGGTGCAGAAAGGAAGCATTCAGGATTCTTACAGGCCGTGCCGCAAAGGCAACTCTCTGCAGACTGCTGAAAGATCACACATCTCCAAACCTGTCAAAGACGACCTCTCGTAAGACCCGAAGCGGGCTTGTCAGGCTTTTGGGCCTTCTGCGCGTCTCTGGGAAGCTTTGCTTTTGCCTTTGTGACTTTCTTCTTGCTGAAGTGGGGACCTCAGACCAGTATGCCGCTGAGTTCAATCTCGCCACGATTCAGTTCTCTAGCTTACTTGCTACCCCGTTGCCATCCAACTCCACAAGCTGTGCCAAGTTCAGGGTACGCGGCTTGCCCGGCATTGCGGGATGCGTGGTGGGCTTCGGCATCGTGGTAAAGGCTCGCGAGTTCAGTAGATGTCCGTGTCGACATTTCAGCCAATGTTGCATCACTAGTTCCGTAAGTGGCGCGCCACGACCCACCACCGTCGAACCTGCCCCTGTGAATGTGCACGAGCATCATGTCCATCATGTGGAGTGCTGTGGCGGGATCCATGTGCAGTACAAGACCATGCTCGACGGATCTTGACTAGTTCCCGTGCGAAAACGGCACTTGGCCATGGTCCTTCTCTCACCGTTGAATTGCCGACTCCCTTCGCAGACTCGCACAGGCTATGCTTGATTTCCGCGGGATTTATCGCCGCCGCTGAGCTCAGCTTTTGAGACGAAACAAGGCAGGCGTCAGCCAACTTCGATCGTCTCAATGGCTGTTGGATTGATTTCGCCTGCCTGACCGAAGACTTTTGCGAGTGTTGGCGATGGCCCAGGTGCAGGAAGAATCCTGTCGTGAAGTGCACCCCCCAGAGCAGATAGTGAGATCATGGCTACGCGTGCTTCATTGCTTGCGGATGTGCCTCCAGTCCTTTTCGTTTCGGGATGGCTTGCGCGCAGCACGGAGCTTGCAGTCGCGAAGTCTTATGGTTTCAGCTTTCGCAGTTCTGAGATGTGCGAGTCTGGCCGATTGCACGCGTTGTGTTGTATCATCACTTGACTGTTCTGTGCACTCAATCTGCCTGCCTTGCTGGTTGTGTTTTTTCACATAGGCTGATGTTGTTTGTAAGCGCTCATCGTAGTTGCAGACGCCTGCAAACCATTTGACGCCTGCAAACCATTTGACGCCTGCAAACCATGTGACTTTCAATGGTCGTCCTGCACCCGTTGCCTATTGCTGCAATCGGGTGTGCCTCAAATCAAGAAGTTGATTGGTGCTGGTCATATCGGACTTCTGCCGCCTTTCTGTCGGGACACTCAATTCGGACGCCAAAGCCTGGCCCAGGGCATCAGAGGCTTGGTGCTGATGCACGCGCATGACTAAGTGACTAAGTTCGAAGCTGGAAGAGCTGCTGGTCGCATCATGTACGAGACCCGTGAACGAGTACAACACAGGGCGTCCCTGCGAAGCTCCCTAGTCATTTGAAACGCTGGGGAACTGCAAGGGTACGCCCATCGTGAGCGCATCTTGCATGCAGACGAGGGCCAGGCAGCGACAGTCCAAGTGTCATCCCCAAGTCGGCGGAGGCAGCTGAACGGGGCTAGTGAGCGGCTGTGAAAGCTCCCTCGATCCAAGGCTGTCCTGGGCAGAAGCCACGATTCGAAGCTTTCGCAGGCCGCCCGGGATGCCGTGCGCGAGGGCGCGAGGGACTTCAGCTTCTCAGAAGAGCAGCATGGTTTTCAGTCTGTCTTTCGACACCACTTGTGCAGGAGCTCGCAGGCTGTAAAGATGACTGAGACGACGTGAGAGCACTCAGCGTTGCAGAGCAGTGTTTTTTCCATCCAGAGCGGCCGAGGCAATGCGTCTACAGGCAGGCACTCACCAGAGCAGACAGCTCCCTTTCAAGACAGACCTGGAACAGCTCGGTGTATACGCCACCGGATCACCTGCTTAAGAACCTTGGCAAGCTCCTGGAAGCACGTACCATGGGTTTCCAGCTGCCCCAAAGTTGAGAGATGTGGAAGCCCGGGAGCCAATACTTGAAATTCGATGGATGCATGACCTTTTCAGTTCAGTGGAGCTGACTTGCCCGATGCTGTTTCGTCGTAGCTGTCATAGCTTTGCATGTCCGGTGCTTTTTTAAATGACAATCGAAATTATTCGAAATCGACCTCGAGCTATCTTTTGGTTTGCTTTCTGCCTCTTGCTCCAGCATCTGTGCAGCAGTCAGATGTTTTCCGCTCGTCGGCATGATGTGGACCGCGCCACACAGGTGCCGTGGAAGATTCGCAGAGCTCTGCCGCCCAACGCTTGGAAGAGATAGCAAGAAGTAGTGACTTAGTGCACGGGTGAACGGGCCGCTACATCCGCTACGCCGCTCCCAGGGTAGAGCAGCCCATGTCAAAGACGAGGAGCGCTTGAACCGGAGAGACGGCGGGTGGGTTCGAAAAGGCACTGCAAATCTTGAGCGAGTTTACGTGCCCCCCTGGCACCCGCATGCTGCCCGCATGACGCTGTCGACGCGCCCACTCGCCCGACTGGCTGAGAGGGCCGACATTGTACAGGAGGCGATTGCAGCATTGCCTCGTGATTTTGCTCACAGAATGGATCTGTTAGGGATGGACCCAAACAGACTCCATTCCGACGAGCGAGGGGGACTTTCCAAGGGGCTTTGAACCTGAAGTGTCTAAGCTTGGACCAACAACTCCAGCCGTCATTGAGCCCACACCCCCTTGCCCTCCTTCCGTGGTCGCTTCCTCTGCTTGGCGTCGCTGAGTCGAAAGCAGGGGTTGAGCGACTTGCACGTCGTCAGCCACGAAATGCCTGTCTCTTCACGAGCGGGAAATTGGCTGTAGAGTTGCGCTGACGACTTCCAGAGCGGCGCAACGAATCACGCCAGGGGGCCGTGCAAAATGGTTCCGCACGTCCCTCTGACCAGTAGCAGTGCAATGCAGTGCAGGTTCCATCCTGGAGGTCGAGGATCCAGCTATGATATGAACACATACATATAAATATGTATATGTATACACACATGCACATGCACATCTACAGATATGAAAGCGCAATCGCGCACGTGTGTACAGTTCTCATCCATCTGTCGTGAACAAGGAAAAGCCGGCACGGAAGCACTCGGTCAGACCCAGAGGAATGTTGATGCAAAGTTGCGTCCATTCAGGTTGGAATTGCATGCCATCATAATCTCGTCTGAGTTGCTCCGCCTAGTCGGAGTTTGAGATGAACTCGACGCGGACGTCCCCCCCAGCAGAGCCGAGGGACCCACCGCCGCACAGCCCTGCACCTTACCGTTTCTTGGAGATGGAGTAGGACAAGTGCTGGGCACTGAGTCTAGTCTCAAGGTGCACAGTGAACTGTTACCAAGCCTTGATACCATTTCTGAAGAGCGAACTGTGGCTTTGCTTCTTTCGAGTTTCATGCGCCTTTATTCCACAGAGCTTCACTAAGGGATGGCAGTCAGCAATGTCAACAGACCGAAGACGAGGTTAGAGTTACGCCAAGTGTTCCTTTTGACAGTGCGGGCAGTGCAAGAGAAGGCTTGCTCTTTCGCGCATGGCTTACCGAGCAACACTGAATTGTGACATCGTGGCTGCGAGCCGAAATCGGACCAGGGTTTGCTGTTTGAGCAGTGGCCGAATCGGTGGCTGAATCAGCTGGGAAGTGAACGTAGCTTCAGTGTTCAGCGAGACCTGCAACCTGTCCTGCCAAACCTTGCCCCAGCTAATCACGGGTTTCCGGCTCGATAGATGGTTGCTACATTGGAGTTCATGCTTTCTTTTGGGAGAGATCTGTGTCGCAGGTTGTCGCTTCCCGGTCTCTGCGCCGAGAGTACCACTCTCGCATGCTTCAAAGACAAGGGAGGTTTAAGGGCAAATCACAACACGAAGAGCTCGCGCCCACCATGGCGACTCGTCAGGACCTGAAAAGCAGGCAGGATTTGTCGGTTAGAGACAGGCTGCCATGCGCTTTGGTTCACTGCTTGGGGACACATGCATTTTGCCGCAGCGGGGACTCGGACTAAGTTGATCGTGCGTACGGTCTCTGAACTCCAACAGTGGTTCCTTGGGCAGGTCAGTGAAGGAGCTGAAAGAGATGTTAAGCCGACGACTCGGTCTGTGACGTGACATGCAACGGCCATTTCTGGGCTTCTAGCAGCAAAAATTCAGAAAGCATACGCAGTCGAAGGGAAGCACCTCCAGCAGGTCAGTGCTCATATCTCTCACGGCTTTTGGGCGCCGGTGTCAGGCCGAGAGGGCTACGATCCGGCGGCTATCGTCGGCCTCGAGAAGGTATCGGGAAGAATGTTGTGCCTTTCGTGAGTTTCTTCAACAAGTGTAACAGGAGGAGCTCGTCGAAAAGGTATGGGTGCTCTGTTCCGCGCTCAGGAGGACGGGGTCAGGCTGGCTTATCAAGCATGATTCATGATGGCACAGTTTGCAGCTTGTGTCGCACGGGCAGAGTCAGGCCTACCGAGTCCCATCCTGTTGTATCTTGGTGCAGCAGGGCAGCACCAAAATTTGAAGATAGCATGTTCCGAGGTCAAAACCCGAAAGAAGAGGACCGGCCCTTTTGCCGCGCAGTGGAATCTGGTCAGTGGTTCAGAGGTGTTGGCAGTTCTGGCCAGGACCCATATCCGCTTCCTCTCTATTCCAACTGTTGGCCTCAGTTCATCCTGAGAGGCAAAGCCGACTTCCCTCTTACTGTACGGCTGCGTCGGGTTCAGGGTCAGGGCCAGGGAGCAGTGGGTCGCAGGGTGTAAGACACAGCAGGTTTGCTGCTCCTCGGGCTGCAGAGCTACGTTGCATCGCACTTCTTGGCCGGGGCCTTGAAGTCCTGAAGCTGGCTTCGTATGTCGCAGGTCGTAGCTGTCGTAGCTGATGACTACTTCGCTTGTGCTGCAGGCTTGGCAAGCCAATCTTCTGGGGATCCTTGTCGTGGTAGTGGTGCTCACCGTCCGAAACATGTACGCCGTCACGCTCAGATGGGTGCCGGGTTGTTTTGGTGCATTGGAGATGTGTCGAAAAAGAAAAGTGCCCAAAGGTAGTTTGCCCATCCATTGTATCCTCGATTCTTCCTACAGAATGCGGAATGCACTGCGTCTGTTGCGTGTCCTTGCAGCTGGTGCGAACTCTGCCAAGGTGCGGCAGGAGAAAGCTCGCAAGCTGCGCAAGCGACTGTGACCCCAGAGAGGAGTCAAAGTGCCGGGCTGAGAAGATGCAATCTGCATGTTGCAGCTGTTCGGCTTGGTGCAGCTCTCCTCAGGTGTCTCGCATAGGTAAGCTGCTTCGCCAGCCCCAAACGCAAAGCCAAATCCATTCCCACCCAGGCTACCGGGTGCGACCTCTCGTCTTAGAACCCCGCACGTTCGTAGGACACTTCCAGAAACTTTTACAGAGACACGTACCGGATCAATAAGAAAGCCGCCTTGTCTACCCTAACTGCATCACAAAAACAGGTTGGGATTTCATCCAACCGTGATCTCTTAATAGCTTCGTCACATGAATGCGAGAAATTTGGGGAGCTCTGGCCAAACATCTAGCATCTTTGAACCTAAAATCCCACAACTTCGTTGCCGCTAGCGTACAAGATTGCTTGAGTAATCTCAACTGGCATGCACAGGTGAATCAAAGGCTTCACAGTGAGCGTGGATGAGCTGGCGGCATGCTGGAATGAAGTGGTGTGAAGCCGGAGGCATGGGCCGAATGCAGCCTCTCGAGGCGAAAGCATGGCACCAGGGTGACGGACACGAGGCGTTCGCACACCGAGAATGCGACCGACGCCGAAACAGCGACTAGATGAAAGCTGGTGAAGAGTGCGCAGTGGAAACAGCCAGGCGATCGTTC